TCATTTTTTGTATATAACTTGACCTATCCATGATGACCACTGCACCACCTTTATCTGCCTTTAAAACAAATAGATCACCTAAAAAACGTAAAGTATTGTCTTTATCTACCTCCATCGTCAACTTAACATTGCAATCACTCTGGTTAATTAGGAACAAGAGATAATCTAAACTATCCTTTCCATGCTGACATATGGCAAAGTAGACATTCATGTATCTGACTAACAGTTTGGCTGTCAATCTTACCTCTTCCATGAAGTGTTCCTCCATTCTTTACATGCACATTTTAGATTATACCTTGCTATCATAATGTCCGTCATATGACGGACGAAAGCTTAGCACGTTTTCACGGGAATCAAAGGAGATTTCCTCGGAAACAGCGTCAGCATGAATGTTCCAGTAAAGCCAATTGACAGCTGGTCAAGAGGAATCCGCCGTCGTCGTCTGGTGGAGCCGACCTTCGAATCTCTTCAGCCAACACTTTCACTCGAAATGGAAGTGAGCTCAACAATTATGAAACAAGCGATTCCTCGAAACCCAACTTTAATTCACATATTTTTGATACATTTTTAAAATGATGTTTTCCGACAGACGAATATCCGTCAAGACTCGGCATAAATAAAACTGGTTGCCGAGGTCGTTATCGCATGATCCACCATTGACAAGCACGGCGACCAATCGTGTTTAGATTTTTGAGGCGGCCAACATAGAAATCCGTTCAACCCGCTAGTTTCACAAAACTGAAGGGTACCTACAGCACCAAGACGATGGTAGGGGTTGCCAGAAGATATGTTTTCTTTTCATACTAACAAGAGATGCATTCTCGGTGAAGTTGGCTCCATTCGTCTCGTCTGAAAGAGGCCAAGTGCATCGTGTTTCATGCCCATCTTGCGATGCCAGTCTTGCCGGTCCGAGGGACCGTGACATTGTGTGGTTGCATCAGGTCAGCAGCGATCGACGGCCGCGTGGTCGCAAATCGTGCCCCAACTGGTCAGCGCAGAAAGCCAGCCTCAAGTCTGTCAGCGACCGGCCGAACCCCACATTGCCTTCTCTGCGCAACGAGGGTGGGGTTGGATGCTTTAGCTCCCGGTACAAGTGGAAGCGACGCCAAGTCACGCCCCGCCCTGTCCATTGCTGGTGTCCCCCGGTCCCGGTACGGAAGAGGGTTTTTGTTGCCATCATCAGAAGACGACGACTGACTCATCTCGCTTATCGTCTACCAGCGCTTATCAGATCCTGTCGAAGAGACGCCCTCCCCTCCGGTCCCCACTCGCCGCCTCCGTCTATACTGTCTGCAACTCCTCCAATCCCGTCGATGTGCACCACTTTGACGTGTTGCCGGCCCCGGCCGGTCGGGCAATGAAGCGCAGGCAAACTGGGGTCGTGGAAGTTGGCGATTTGTCTGACGACGCTATTGGCTGACCAAAATGTTGGGTCCGTTTGGCCAAGATCCTTGCAGACCGGTTGCCGTCAGCGATTGAGCCCACCTCGAATCGATGAGATGGTTTTACTCATTATTTGACCCTACCTTTGAACTCATCTTCGCGCTAGTTCGAGTCTTACTGGCAGAGCTGAGACGGAATAGGCGAGGTCGAAAGCACAGCGAAAACTTCGTGGATATGAAGAAAAGATGCGTTTCAAAGACTCCGGTTGACGTGCATTTAACTTGTTTTCACTCAATTCCATTTCGA